TTTTTTTTTTTTTTTTATTTCGGAAACCGTATTCCTTGAATACGTTCTGCAATTAAATCATGCAGAAACCGTATTCAAGGAATACGTTTTCGATATTAAATATAAAAAAAAAACTTTTTCTTCTCTTCTTCTTACGCGAACAGAGAGCAAAAAAAAAGGAACGAAACCGAACTTCAGAGAGCAATAACTTGCGAGAGAAGAGAGCTCGATTGTACTGCAATTCGGTCGAAAAAAAAGGGCATCACCATCTCACTACCACCGCACGGTATATTATCGCCGCCTTCTTACATTTTGTTCAATTAGAACTTCAATTTTTACTAATTTTTAATCATTTTCGAATTAGGGTATTTTTTGAATATTGAATATCTTGTTTGATGGAAATGAGATATGTTGATGTAATTGTTGAATATGTTTGTATGTTAAATTGATGGGTTATTTGAATTGTGATTAGGTTGTGTAGTTTGTTTGAGAATATATGATTTCAAGGTGTTCGATAAAATGCCTCAAAGGGGTTCTTTAGTTTGAGCTTCTTTTCTTGTGTTATTGGCTTTGTTGTTACATATTTGTGAATTTGGGATGATTGTGATGAGGTGAAGAGGTGTTGAAGGTGAATATGTGAATTTTTAATATGTTAAATTGTTGTTTTAATTTTAAGGAAAGAGGTTTAGGTTTGAAATTATAATGTTATTGAAAATGTGAAATTGTGAACTATTGTGTGAACTTCGATTTTTTGGAATACGACTCCAATTAGAACTTCGAATTGTGAATTGTTTTTGTTAATGTTATTAGCATCTATTGTTCTTGATCAATATTACATAATAAATAACTTTAATCGTAATTTATTATTTTTTCCTATTATTTGTAGATAAATGGCTTCATCATCATCCTCACAGCCTCAACAGTACAGTGTGCATCCCGGTCCGAGGGATGAGAGCCTTCTATATCTCCAGTACAAACATCGGGCAGAAGCGATATTTTTAAATGTGCCGGGAGCTCGTGACATGACGTGCACAAACCGTCGTTTCGACACCCAGTTTTGGAAGGCAGTGCTAAAGCAGACGCTGTCGGTTTGGAGGGCCATCGACCGGACTGGTTTCGGCCCCATGTTTCGAATGGGTCGAGTCCAAGCCGACAACGCCCTCCTCACTGCTCTCGTGGAGAGGTAGCGTCCAGAGACGAATACGTTCCATTTCGATTTCGGCGAGGCCACCATGACGCTCCAGGATGTACAAGTCCTATTCGGTCTGCCAATCAATGGAGCTGCTGTTGTGGGAGTGACTGTAGAGCTATCACCCTTACAGTGGCGAGAGAAGTGCAAGAACTTTCTAGGGTTTGAGCCCTACGTTCAGGTATATTTTTTCATAATATCTTTTTTTAAATATATGTCAACTCAATATATCATTTTTAATATGTAAAAACTACTCTCAGGATCCTCCCACCATCGAGGCAGAGCAAGCATCACAGGACCCTAGCTCGTGGGAAATTGCTGGCCAGTGGTTGAATATTGGGCCTTTGGAGCGCTCTTGCAACACTGAGTTGCAAGAAGGACAACCGGATATCGTGTACGAGCAGAGGGCGAGGGCCCTTATCTTGTGGTGCATTGGGTCATTCATCTTCCCCGACCAACGGGCGGATGGTGTCCCACTTTACTGGCTCCAGCTGCTAGAGGACTTCGATGGTATTCAGGGGTACAGCTGGGGTTCAGCGCTCTTAGCAGGAGTATACAGAGCGTTGGCGATCTCGTACGAG